TCATATCCAGATGCTGGGACCACTGCACTCCCCACCAGGGACAGACCAATTTTCCTGCTGTTTCCTAGGGGACCTGTGCCTTGGGCCGCTGGGTAAATCCAGCCTAATCCAGAATCTCCCCTGTCCTAGGAGAGTTTTATGTGCGTGTCTCCTGAGCAGAGGGCCCAGCCCCAAACATCCCCATCCTTCTTGCTGAACTACTTTCTTCCAGCCTCTGAGCCTAGAAAATTCTGCCCTTGGTTAAGGGGGAATGTGGTGGGGTTGTGAGCAGACTAGAGTGTTCAGACTTACAGGGAACATCTGTCCAGGGGTGCTCTGCACAGTGTGGACGAACCTTTGAGTCTGGAGGAAAGAAACCGCGTTTTGACCGCATTTTGACCAGCCTAAAGACCACCACCCGCCACCAGAGGGCACCACTCAACACTTCCCCCACCCCGGAACTCCCTCCTGCCATCACCACCATAGCCAAGCGGAAGGTTGCGGGGGATGGCCTCGGCTGCCCCACGCTCCAGTGGGAGAGGCCCTGCCTCTTCCTTTTAACCCACATGAAGAACCAAAGTGAAGAGATTCCGAAGAGGGCACAGGAGACTTACCATGGGAGCCGCAGTGGCTGGCCAGATCCCTGGAGACTGAATGGGATGAGAAATCAAAATGGTGGTTAACATTGGAGCCAGGGGAGAGATGACAGCAGAAACTGCGGTAAGAAAGTTCCCCTCACACACACGCTGCCTCCTTCCTGCTGCCAAGCAAGTCTCCTTGAGCCTGTGGCACACAGCTTCTCACCTACCATCCCAGGTACACTTTGGTTATGCAACAGGGTTGGGGGTGAGGGTCGGGGTTAGAGGAGGGAGGGAACATCCCCACCGGCTCCTGCAGGGGATGGAGACCATTTAGCTTCCCTCAGCTCCCAGGGGCAAAACCATTACTCCCAGTGCCATATCTCACCCATAAGGTGAAAGATAATATTTGCTGAAGGCCTATTGTGTGCCAGGCTCTGGCTTCAGCGCTTGATGGTGAGAGAGACATCCTGTCCTCCTGTTTCTCTGGTGAGGCAACCAGACTCAGAAAGATTAGGCAACTTGCCCAAGATTACTCAGGTAGCAAGTGATGAAATCCGAAATGATACCCAGTTCCGGCTGATAGTGTCCACCACATCCCATCCTCTCCAGGCCACGGCCAGAGTTGGGCTGCCCTACAAAGGCTCCCTGGAGCTCTACCAGTCCTGAGGCAGCATGGCAGGAGGCCGGTGCCCTAGCTGCACTGTGCTGGGCACAGGAGAGCTGGGCAGAGAGACACTCCTCCCCTCAGAGTCCCCACTGCTTCCGTGACCAAAGAAAGGGCCAGGCCCTGCTCCCCTTTCTGTCCTGGACCCTGTCTTCACCCAGCCAACTGTTCCTTTGGCAAACCACATTCCACATTCGTTAACTGAGTCTCCTGTATGCCAGGTACTGTGTAAAATGCAGGAGGTACTTGAATAAACCAGCCACAAATCCCAGCCCACAAGGGGCCTGCGGAGTGGGGTTGGGGAGGAGTGAGGGGAGTGACGAGGAGACACACAGAAGCACATTTACAGTGGGACATGGTGACTGACATAACACAGAGGTGTCCAAAGTCTATGGGACACAGGGGGAGCATCCAAGGATCTGCCAGTCAGCGACAATGCCTGGAGGAGGGACATTTAAGCAGAGCATTGAAGCGCCGTTAGGGGTTGGCTGGGGGTGAGTGGCAAAGGGTGCTTTCAGCACAGGGACAGCATGTGCAGAAGGCACGGGGAGCCCGAGAGAGCCCCCAGTGAGCAGTAGGGGCTGCATGAGCTTCCTGGGTGAGGAGTGAGGCCGGAAGGGAGGCTGGGGCAAGACTGGGGAGGATTGTGCATCCTCTGCAGGCCCGGCTGGGGAATCTGGGCTTCATCTAAAAGGGTGTCGGGCCTTTAGGTCTTTAAAGCAGGGGGAAGATGTGATCAGATGTGGGTACAGGAAGGTCACTGTGGAGGTAGGTGTGTGGTGGGGTGAGGGGACTAGACCATGGTCTGAGTGGTGAAGGGGCAGACGCCTGGACCAGGGTAGTGGCTTTGGGAGGAGAGGTGTTGGTGCCCTGGAGAGATAATGAGGTGAAGAAAGAACCAAGGACAACTGTCAGGTCCTGGGCTGGGGAGTGTGAATGGAGACAGGGAACCTCTGGGTGGGCATGACGGGGTCTGGAGCTGGACCAGTCTCTCAGACCCTCTGTCTTTCCTGCTGACGGCTCAGCCTCCCCAGGCCTCCATCCGACTCACTTTCGGTTTGCGCCCCTTGTGCTTGGGTGGGAAACAGGCAGGCTGGGAGAACTGCGCCCTGGAGAGGGCGGGCTGCATGGGAGCCACGTGGGTGTTCTGTTAAAAGAAAGGGGGCCACAGGGTGAGGAGAAGCATGAATGGAGCCGAGGAAGAGCGGGAAAGCAGGCACCAGGCCGGAGGGAGAGAGCCAGGCAGCGGGGCAGCAGGGTGTCCAGGAGGGGCAGAGGGAGGTCAGGCCCCGGTGAGTGACAGCAGGCTGGCAGCTCCCTCTCCCACAGGGGAGAGTTGGTGGAGGGACTATCCAATGTGAGGGCCAAAGAGAAAGGAGCTATTTGCTGAGGGCCTGCAGTGGGCCTTTCCCATCTGAGGTGGGCACACACTCAGGTACCCAGTGGTGACAGTAGCTCCACCTGGGGCCCTGCAGACTGTGCGCCCAGCACACCCTAATCTTCCCAGTTTTCACAAAAAGCCAGAAATCCAGATTCCTATGTGTTATCACCTGATTGTTTTTTTTTCCAAATTGTAAATAGATACAACATAAAATTGGCCACCTTAACTATTTTTACGTGTGCAATTCAGTGGCATTAAGTCCATTCACCACCATCCAGCTCCAGCACTTTTTCATCTTGTGAAACTTCTCCTGACCTTTCATATGGTGGTAACACACTGAAAAAATTTAAAACATAGAGAGGTTCACATAGACCCGGGTGTGGCCCAGGCAGGCTGTTCGGTGCCCTCTGACATGGATTGCCTCACTGAATTCACATTAACGACCCGTGGGGAGGCCATGACCGTGTTCCTGCCCAGGTGAGGAAACTGAGGCTGGGAGAGGCTAAGTCGTTTGTCTAAGGTCCCCCAGCCGATGTGAATGGCAGAGCTGGAGATTTGACCTGGATTCAGTTTGGTTCCCACGCCTGGGTTCTTTCTAGAACCACAAGGCCTCCTAACCAGGGTGGAAATAGAGAGTGACAGAGACAAATGGCCTAGGGGTCCTGGACACTGAGACAGGGGTTCCAGACAGAGACAGCGACACGAGAAGGATGAGACAGGAGAGCCAGAGGTGTGCCCCCAGAGTCACCTGGAAAGGAGACTGACTGGCACCTCTGGCCCCACCCAGCAGGGCCTGGGCACAGCAGGCTGGGCTCACACCCAGCCTGGGACAGGTGCCAAGTGGACAGTCTGACCTGGAAGCTGACATAGAACAGCTGCACGGCTCCCGTGACGGAGATGGTGTTGACGTGGTGGAAGGGCACGCGGTGTGCATACTGCACAAAGAAGTTCCCGTTCACCGTCACCTGCCAGGATGAGTGCAGCTTTCAGGAGGGGAGCCCAGCCGGTGGGGGGAGCACACCTGAGCCGCTGGGACCCCTGCGTCTAGAAATTTAGACCTGCATCTAGTTTTCACATCCACCCTCTGAAGTTGGAAGGCATCAGCCTTCAGAGCTGCCCGAATTTCAGGAACATGCGTGGGATCCAAAGTGCATCCAAAAGTAATTCCTACATGGCTCTACTTTTTTTTTTTTTTTTTTTAGTTCTTGTGGTTGTTTGTTTTTTGCATTAGGTTTGTCTTTCTAATCCTAGCTCACCTGAGGTGTTACTTAAATATGCATAAAATGATCCGGAGTTAGAGGAGCGGTGACCACAGGTTGCATATTGAGGGAGTGGGCACATCCTTGTTCACACAGAGAAGCACAAATACCAGTGTCCTCATCCACACCCTCTCCCCAAGTCCAGAGACACTGCTCTGCTTGCAAAAGCAATCTGCAGTGCCATGCAAAACGAAGCCGTTTATAAAACCTGGAGGATAAAGGCTACAACAATGTAACAGAAAAACATCTGTGATCAGAGACCTGGAGTAGAAGAAGGGCTACAACAGAGGAATGGAAATAACTTGGACTTTAAAGACCCAGGAGGTCAAGTGGCTACTTATCTAGTTCTGATTTCTGAAGTAAAAGACGCAGCAGGTTCACCTGGAGATGCAGGTCAAAGTGTATGAGGAGACTGCAGCCACCGTAATGTCCTTAAAAGGAAATGGTCCTCTTATCCGTACAAACGTGTTGTTCACGTGACTATTTAAAGGCTCTTCGCCGAGTCTGATAAGACTAGGGCAGTGGAAGGAAAGGGAGGAGAGTCCCTGCTCACCTTGAACTCCGAGCTCTGCACCAGGAAGAGGAGCTCAAACGGGCTCCCCCTCTGGAAGGGCATTTGCATCTTCCTCTCCTCAGGCCCCCAGCTTCCCTTCTGCTTGGTGTTGCAGACCACATACCCACCCTCTTCAAACCGTGGGTTGAAGTGGAAGGCGATGTCATTGTCACTGTGGCCAGTCTGAAAGTTCACAGCAAACCTGGGCGAGGGAAATCAGATCGTGCTGGGAGACCTGGTTTGCTGCCAATGGCAGGAATGCAAGGGCCTAGCACCTTTGACAGACATCTGCCTGGGGAACCTGCCCACCACCTGCAGGGCTGGCTCGTATCCATCCTTGGTTTGTTGCCCTCTTTTTGTTCACCTAATTTGCATTTAGTGGGTTTTTGTGCAGTTACTGCATTTTGCCCATCCAGTGTGCTTTTCTAAAACTAAGTAGAAAATGGGTAGAGAAATTTGTATTCAAGATGCAAGTTGAGAAACATAACTAGAAGCGGGAGGTGTTCACGCCGAGTGGATGCTTCTAGGAAGCCAGCCCATGTCTGCTCAGTTGAGAAGGAGGACAGATGGAAAGATTACATGACATTGGATGAGCCACACCTAGAGAGGCACTATCTAATGCGGAGGCACAACTAGTGCCCAGGCCTGTGGACCTCAGTGCCTGCACCTGTCCCTCAGCAGAGGTTGGCATGTGTCCACCTGACCTGAGGATACGTGTGAGTTCTTCCCTTGGAAACAAAGGAAGTTGATATTTTTGCAAATCTGAGTCTTCATTTACGAAGTTCAGTCCTAGAACTTTTACCTCTAGGCTGGCCTGCTTCTCTCCTTAGTCTGTGAGCCCCCATCATCCCCAGGTCTTTGGAGAATCTGTGTTAACGATGCCCTAGATGCTCCTGGTAGGTTGGCAGAGGTGGGTCCTTCTCATCCCCTGAGCCAGGTGCGGGCAGCTCGGAAGATGCTGGGTGGACCACCCTGAGCTGACAGGCATCATGGTTCGCCCAGGGGCAAGGCTGGAGAGAAACAAAAATGCCAGGTACCTGGTTCCACCGGAGTAAAAAGTAGTCCCACTGACAGTAATCTGAAGTCCATCCTGAAGACCCCCTTGGATTGTCCCAGTGAAGGGGACGATCTGCAGGGAGAAGATAGTGGTCAGTTAGGGAACCTGCCTCCTTCCGTGCCTTCCATGTGTTGGCCGGCTTGGGTGTTGGGCCCGGCACTTGGGCCGGGGCGGCAGTGAACAGGACAGCTCAGCCCCACGCACCTTCCAGGCCCATGAGGAAGCCGACTGGAAGCAAGGAAGTTACACAGACATCCTGAGGTTGTGAGAAGGAGACCTCTGGGCTCTGAGAGAATGTGACAGGGACAAAGTGACAGCTTCCAAGAGGAAGAAGCAGCTCAGCCCTGAGCTGGGAAGGAACCAGGGGAGCGATGGGGCGGCTGGGCCCTGGGCCATGCTCCTAGCAAAGGCCCCCAGGGCCCTGGGTGGGGATTTAGGAGGCTGGAGGAACCAAAGAGACACCAACCTATACTAGACGATAAGCCTTCTGCTCACCAGAGCGGGCCAAGAAGAAGGCCTCCTCCACCCTCCTGCCCACCCCGCCTGGTGACGATGGTGACCAATGACCTTTGCCCTCCTGCTGCCTCAGGTAGTGCCTCTTCCTGGGTGGTCTCTGCAGCCACAGGGCTGCCCCCTCTTCTACTCCTGCCCCTGGGCTCCCATTGCTTCCCCCAGGCCCTCGGCTGCCTCCAGAGTCCTAATGCAGCATCTCCACCCCGCCAGTCTCCATCACTTTGTCACGTTCTCTTTCCCAGGCCTCTTGAAAGGCCCCACGGTTATGGTGAGGGATGCTTCACTTTCGAGCCACGCATATTCCAGATTTGAATCCTAATTCTGCCACTCGTTACCTGATTGGCCTTTGGAAGCTTATTTGACTGCTCTTTGTCTGTTTCCTCATTTGTAAAATAGGGATAAATCCCACCTTCTGGGTACGATTGATGATTAGGTGAGAAAAAGTCTGTGGAAGAGGCTGGCGCATAGTAGGTGTCTTTCGACCCCCCCCCCCGCTTCCACCCTGGTCTCTCTGAGCAAAATTCCCAAATTGCTTACTTGTCAACTTTCAAAGCTTACTTCCAGAATGCCTTTTATCTAACGTGGTTCTGCAGCCTGCACTGAACATAGTTCAATCTCCTAGTCAATTTTTGCGTTTTTCAAATTGCTGAAGTCTTTTCTACCTTCTCCTTTAAGTCACTTCCCTACAAAAATTAAGTGCTTACAGGAACCAAGCAGGTGATGTGTCTGAGTGAGATGGCCAGGTAGGGTACAGTAGGGAGTGGTGGGGATTGCGGCAAAGTGGACACCATCTTCCATCTCTAAAGGGGCAGTGTCCACTCAGCTGTAACTAGTGATTACCATCCAGGCCCAGTGTTGGCAGAGCTTCCAAATTTTTAGGAGAAGACAGGAAACATGATTTTTTTTGGAAAACTTTACAATTCCTAGGGGGAAAAAATCCTTTAAAAAGGATTGTAGAAGACTTCCTTTATTATTCAGCTACATAATGAAATAGTTGAATCGTAAGATATGCCTGGATTTGCTTCAAAATAATCCAGGGGTAGAAAGGGAAGTAGGGTTGGGTAGAGATGAAGCAAGATAGGTCATGAGCTGAGAATTGTTGAAACTGGGTGAAGGGTATGTGTGGTTTATGATACTATTCTCTCTGCATTTAAAATTTTTCTTTAGCAATAAGTTAAAACAAACATCATACAGGCCAAACAACAAACACCCAGTAGCCCAATTCAGTCCTAGCTTGTGTCCTTGAGTTACAAACCACTCAGAATCCAGGGAAACCCCTCCTAGCTCAGGGTGCACAGCTGGCCCAGTGAGAGAATGAGCAATGCCAGGATCCCATTTGAACAGACTCTGCTCTCCATGGACCTTTGGGAGAGGGATCTTTTGTGGCATCTGAACTCCGCCATTAAATACTTTGGTGACCTTAAGCAGATCACAGCTTCTCTGCATCACAAGTTCTCTCTGTCATTTCTGTCCATGCCAGTGATTTTGGAGAACCAGCGGCAACCTGACACAGTCATGGACCAGCATGGCAGACTTCCCTGAACAGTCCTCCCCTACTTTGTTGGTTGAAACCTGCAATTCTCTTAAGAACCTCCCATACCATCATGAGAGACAAGGCTTAAAATGCACATCCTCAATGAGCACCAGACCTTCCCTTCAGCACACTAAGGTGTAAGGAGCTGAAGGCAGAGGGTGATGGAAGGGGTCATATATGCACAGGAGGAAGGCAGGACGGAAGCAGGTGTGCAAGGACCATCGGGTGGGCAGTACAGGTCAGTCTTAAAAAATGATTCCCACTAGAAAAAGTTTTGTGAGATTTCAGTGTCTTGAACCATCAAATTCTGGCAAACAAAATAATTTCAATTGACTATACCCCAACAGACAAGGATACTCTTTGCAGCATTATAATAGCAAAGAATCAGAAAGAGTCTAAAAGTCCACCCTGAAGAAAGTGGTGAAATAAATTATGGTGTTTCCATAACAATGGATTCTATGTAGCCTTAACTAGAAAGGAAGAGGAGGGAGGAAACTGTCTGAGAAACTGATATGGAATGATGCCATATGTATTTTAAAAATGGGTGGAGGAGGCTAAGTGTATGTATTTACTTATTATGGATAAAATCTTTCCGGCAGGATTCAAAGAAACTGCTGACGTTGGCTGACTCCAAGGAGGGCATGGTGGACTGAAGAATTACCACGTCTCATCCACCCCACCAAAAACGTCCACATTCTAATCCCTGGAATTTGTGAATATGTTACCATACGAGGCAAAAGGGACTTTGCAGGTGTGATTAAATTAAGGATCCTGAGATGGGGAGGTTATCCAGGATGATCCAGGTGGGCCCAGTGTCATCATGGGGTCCTCAAGGAGGGAGGCAGGAGAGCAGAGTCAGTAGGAGATGTAACAACAGAAGCAAGAAGCTGCTGGCTTTAAAGAAGGAGGAAGTGACCATGAGCCAAGGCATGCAGGCCACTATGGGAGCCGGAAACGGCAAAGGAACCCATTCTCCCTTGAAGCCTCTGGAAGGAAACAGCCTTGCCACTGCTTTGATTTTAGATTTCTGACCTCCAGAAGTGTAAGAGGTTAAATTTGTCTTTTTTTAAGGCTGGCCAGCCAAGGACCCCCCTGTGTACGTGTGTGTGGTCTTAGCAGAAAACAGCAGCACCCGCTTTTGCTCAGGAGGATGGATTTTTATGCTCAATTTATGGTCCCACAGCTTGGGCTCGCCTCCCGGCTCTCTGTGCTGGCAGCTGTGATGTTGAACAAGTCACCTGACCTTTCTGCACCCTAGTTCCTTCCTCTGAACAGTGAGACAAGGGCGCTGCCAGCATAGCATTGTTCTTGACAGGAATAGGTGAGAGGCCATGTGGAAAGTACTTGGCAGCAAAGCCTTGACATCAGGAAGAATTAATCCCTCTGCTGGGTCAGAACTTGCTCTCAACTCCTGGCCGTGCCTGCAGGCTGAGGAATTTTCCCTCTTCTTCCTCTCCAGCCTGGAAAGCAGAGCCAGGCCCTCCAGGCCAGAGGGTGAGGAGCCCCTTCTGGTGGCCCAGTGTCACAGAGGCCACCCAGCTGCAGCTGGCAGAGGGGCTCACCCACAGGAGGCAGCTTGTAGCCAAAGGGCACTGTTGCCCTCTGGGGGCCAACCTTTCCCATCTGTGTTATCCTCACAACAACCCTGGCCGTTATTAGTGCCACTTTTACAGAATGTGGATGTGGAAACAGGCACAGAAAGGTTGGGTATCTTGCCCAAAGCCACACAGCTGGGAAGGGACAGAGCCGGGTTTGAACCCTGGCACCCATACTTATAACCACCGCACGAGCTGCTTCTCTTGATGAAGCCCAGAACATCCTCACTGAGGGCTCCCCAGACCGACCAGCAAGTCCTGCCCTGCTTGTGGTGCCAGCTGCCCTCCTGGCCCTCCGAGGCAGATGAGGCTGGCGCGGTGTGAGTGAGAAACAGGCAAGGCTCCCGGGGCAGGTTCTCGTGGTGTCAGCTCCTCAGTGGAACGGCCGACCTGTGACTTTCCTGCTGCACTTAGGAGGAAGTGAGGTGCCTGGGGTCAGTGACCTGGGAGAGGGCAGCCATGTCGGGTGGACGATGCTCTGAACACTTGTGGGGGCTGCCTGCCCCCAGCCTCTTTCTCATCTGGACTCCATGGCCCTGTTTTGAGTCTCTCCTGCCCATGGGAGGAGTTCCCTTCTGATTTGAAATCTTTGGCTTTTGAATCCAAGGATTGGAAAATAAAAATGCATCACCAGAATAAAATGTCAGGGCTTGGGAGGGACTCTGGGTCCCCCATCTGATGGAGAATGAGCCCCACGTGACACTGATCTTGAGGCCACCACCGAGGTACCCACTGGGTAGTCCAACTTCCTCCAGCTCCACCCTGGAAGCCCCCACAAGGTGGGCTGAGGGCCACCTGTGACTGCCCGGAGGAAACAGGCCAAGCCAGGCCCCTGCTGAGGTGGGCTTGAGTGTGGAGCCCCCGCAGCACTCCCCCAGCACCTGCTGACCCGCAGGACAGGCTCCATCAGCCCCCAGCTGGCCCCTTGAGAAGCCCTTCGCTGATGCCGAGAGAGAGTCCTCCTGCAGGGCCGGGCTCGGAACACAGTGACCACAGAAAGCCCCTGGCCCGGGGCTGCCGCCTGCCTGGCTCGCCTCACAGCACTCTCTCTGTGGGTACCTCCCTCTTCCAGGGGGAAATCAAGGCACCTCCCTTCTCCACACTGCGGGGACAGCCCCGTTTACTCTTACTCCCAACACGGGCCCTCTGCAGACACCCTGACCTGCCCTGCCTTGTTCACTCGGCCCTCAGGGAGCAGACACCGCCTCAGGAGGCCTTCCCTGCTGCCCCTGGACTCTTAGCGATACTAAACACTTCTGAAGCATCCACGGTGGGCCAGACACTGTTCAAACCCTCTCGATGTGCTCCCTCGCTTAATCCTCACCCCAACCCTGGGCGGTGACTCAAGGATTACCCCTGTGTTACAGATGCGGAAACTGAGGCCGAGAGAGGTAAAGGTAACTTGCTTCGGGTCAAGCGGCTAGTAGATGTCTGATCCCAGGGAGGCCGTCTCCAAAGTGAGTGCCTTTAACTGTCGTGCTGGGTTGTTATCCTCCCCAGAAGCCGTGGTTACCTCTCCTTTCACACAAAGAAACCATCCTTCTTCTAGTTTCTACTTCTGCCCATCTTCCCCCACTGAGCACCTAGAACAGGACAGGCACCCGGAGAGAGCCCAGGAAACGTTTGTGGGATGAATGAATCCCAGTGATGTTCACCCCCTCCAGGCCTGAGAGGCACAGTGAGGCAGCATGGAGCAGAAGCTGTATCAGGACTGCCCCAGCTGGTGTTGCTGCCCTTATTGTGTTCTCTTTGGGACACCACCTCCCCTCCACCCCCAGCCACCTGCAAGAGCTGAGGCCGCCCGCATCCCCGGAACTCACTGGGTTCAGGTAAGGAGGCTGGGCACCGATGAAGGCCATCTCTTCACTGCCTCTGTGGTCACCGCTGCTTTGAACACTGGCCAGACCGTCCTCTGCACTGGGGAGGACCTAACAGAGGAATAGAAACTAAAGCAACTTGGCAGTTGTTCAGTGGGGAGGAGCCAGGAGCAGAAGGAAGTAGGTTTCAAGAAAGGGAGAAATGTAGGGTGCTGAGGGAGGAGGGCGGAGGATGGGACTCAGGGAGAGGGAAGTGAGTGTCTCTCATCCAGTGACCTTTCCCTCCTCGCTCTTCCTGCGCTCTGCCCCTGAGACCTAGCAGTTAATATAATTCATGTGGATTCAGAGATCCTGACCACACTGACACCATAGCGAGCTTCTAGATGACACTGCCCATGACTCTGTGGCTGCGTCTCCTGAACTTGATCACAGTGTCCAGAAAACAACAGAGCTGCTTAGCAGGGCCCGTGTGGTTGGGCGCTGCCTGTCCACAGGGTGGCAGTCGTGGTGGTGGGAAGGCCTGGTTATACCCATTTTCCACACTGAGAAACTGAGGCTCATAGAATCGAAGGGTTGTATCCAAGGTCACACAGCTAATTAGTGGCAGTCTGAGCCCTATGAGGCTCCTTAGGTTCTCAAAAAAGCATTCCTCCCCTTTACAATTCTATTCCTCATCTAAAACTATCATCATGTAGAAAGAAAGGTTTTGCAAATAGAAAACCTCATAATGGAGGTTATGTTATCCTTGAGATTAGCAGTGCCCCAGAGCTTCTGATCCCTCTTCTCTGTGACCTTCTCTTCTTTTCTCCCTCTCTTCTCATCTCTTCCTTGATTCTAGGCTTCAGAGTAGGGAGCGGAGAAGTCTCAGACATGATGGAACATTCCAAGTGTCGTGGCCGTGGCAGGAACATGTTAAATAAACTGTCTTTAGCTAGCTTCAGCACCTTGTTTAGAGAAATGATTGATTTAAACAGGGACTCAGGATAGGCTGGGTTGGGGAGCACGGCAGGGAGGAGAGATGTGGTGACAACAGACCCACCTGAGGTCAGGAGGCCCCTGCCATGTGCTCTTGCGGTCAAGCCCAGGTGAGCAGTTGAGGGTCATACAGACACCACTTGGGTAGCAGGGGTCCCGGGGCCATGCAGAGGTCTGCACCTTTGTTCCTTCCTGCCTTGCTGCACCAGAATTTGCAAAGGCTGACTTTGTAGAGATGTTCCAATAGATGGAGGCCCTAGGCCTCCTCTGTCCACCCTCCACTCCCAATTTATTCCTGGATCAACCAGAATTTGACTAGATTTAAGGGGCAGATGGCACAGTTGGAGAAGAAAGGAGAGAAAGAAAGGAAAATTTTTTGCAATCCTCTTTGACACCAGGGACACAGGGATAATTTCCTCCTTGATTAGGATAGGGAACAATTGGGACCCTCATTCATGGCAGCTTGGAGTGTAAAATAATACAGCATTGGAAACTGTTTGGTGGATTGAAATAAAGTCAAATATCTACCTCTCCAATGAAAACATGCATTTCCTAACGGCTTTTCTCATCACAGCCTCACCCTTGAGTTATCAGTATATTCTACTTTTATTAGAATCAAGGTAGTCAACAATTAGAATAACAATATAAGTTAGTTTAGTGGTCGCTTTCGCTTAAGATATAATATTAGTTAGCATTTAATACAGTTCTAAATGTGGTAATTTAAAGATGACTTTTTTTTAACATTTTTTATTGATTTATAATCATTTTACAATGTTGTGTCAAATTCCAGTGTAGAGCACAATTTTTCAGTTATACATGAACATATATATATTCATTGTCACATTTTTTTCTCTGTGAGCTACCATAAGATCTTGTATATATTTCCCTGTGCTATACAGTATAATCTTGTTTATCTATTCTACAATTTTGAAATCCCAGTCTATCTTTTCCCACCCCCCGCCTCCTTGGCAACCACAAGTTTATATTCTATGTCTGTGAGTCTATTTCTGTTTTGTATTTATGCTTTTGTTTTTTTTTAGATTCCACATATGAGTGATCTCATACAGTATTTTTCTTTCTCTTTCTGGCTTACTTCACTTAGAATGACATT